TGGAATACTAGGGCTAACACCTTTGATTTCGAGATGTGGCCCATGACTCCAACTGTTCTGGACATGGCTCAGGTGTTCGGGCTAAAGCCATCAAGTAGGTGTGTGGACATCGCTAATAATTGGTTATCCCCTTCCTATGTAATTGCTGAAAGCTCTGAGACTTCAAGGGCTGTAGTGAGCTTAGATTATGACCACCATCAAAAGTTATGGAACCTTATTTGCAGGCTTCATTCCTTTTGCTAAGAAGAGTTTTTGCCTGCCATCCGTCTTTTACTGATCCAGCTTAGGAACACATGTAATTCCTTCTTTACTGGTTAAATAAACATGTGTTCCCCAACAAGTCTAAATAGGTAAAGTTGGAGTGGATTCCCTAGGTGGAAACTATGCACTCTTTTGATGATGTGGCTATGGCGCCCTTCATCCTAGCCCACTTCTATCATCTGTTCTACAAGATGACCAAATGACAGCCCTTTGAGACAAATCTCAATAAAGCAACCTGGATGGTCCAGATTTGGTTCTAGTGGTACTTTCTAGAGTTTTGGGCGTCAAATCTAGAGTTTCCTGAAGAAGTAGCCTCGGCCGAAATTCTGGCATAAGCTTTAGCCATCAATCACTCAACCCTCTTTTGCTTTACTTTTTCAAGATCTGCATAATCATAACCGATGGTGCCTCAGTGCTTATGAGGTATCCCTAGTTCTCGAACAATCTCTTCCAGGATTCTTTTAGGGCATATGCTAGTACCTTCTGCAATGAGAAATTCATCAGCTGCATTCAGCAAAAGGATCTAGCTTGGGGAGTAAGGAGTGACTGAGCCGATTATAAGTGCGACCTATAAGTTTACCACCCCAACTTTTGTGTAGGCAGTTAGGATTTAGGCAAGCCATCCCAGTTCATTTCTTTGGCTCAATGCACTACAGAACCTCCTACCGCCTCCGCTCCCCCTCTGAGGTCACATATCGAGCAAGTAGGCGTAGCTTGGAAGTGGTGACCAAAATTGCTCACAAGTTCATTACTCTCAATTTTGAGTGCACTGCCCTATTTACCACTTGGTAGGAGGTCAAGTGGTCCAGATAGAGACATCAGAGAAGCCCACAGTAGGATCTTCGAGCAAGTATTCTTCAGGTCTCTCCCCAAAAAAGAGGAACTGGAGAGCTTGAAAGAGCCCATCAATTAGAAAAACCAACTTCTGTTGATAGGTAACTTATCTTCCTAACCCCTTCCTTTAATTACACAGTTATTTAAAATTCTGACTTTGTTTTCTCAATTCCAAGCCCAAGGAAATTCTGATGAAGTAGTCATTGGGCAAGAGGAACCAAAAGCTACTGATATTTTAGTTCTATAAGAAGCTGATGTTGAAGCTACTAGGAAAGAGGATGGCCCAAGCTAAACTCTCGGATAAGCTAAAACTATCTCTGAGATGTTTAGTGAATCGGAAACAGATGCTGAGCTCGAAGCAGAGATTAGGGCTCTCATCAGGCAAGATATGCCGTTGTAGAGTCTTCTGATTCTGAGCTCGAGAAGAGGTCCCAAGTTAGACGTGATGCCCCTACTCTAATGGCCACCCCAACCAAGAAAAGAACCAGATCCTAGACTTCCCAAGTCTCTAAATCTTTTCCTTCCCCCTCCTACTGAAGCAAGCAGAAAATACAAAAGTCTGCCAGTAAGTGATTCAAACTTGATTTTCTTTTATTTAATTTCATCTTCGCAAGTTTTGAACTTATCATATTCTTTCTTGTGATTAAAACATGTTATCAGTAAAAAGCTTGATTATATTCCTAAGGAGATGAAGGTAAGTATGGAAGGGCAGTAAAGTGATAAGGATGTCATTTCCAAGATATCGAATGAGTTGAAGGTAGTTTCCTTGAACTTTTAGTGCTTAATTATTTCTGAAATTATCTCTTGTACTTAACCAATTCTGTTATTTTCCAAAGTAGGCCTCCAAAGCAGAAGGGACTTCCCCAAGCCAAGCCTTTTTCACCTCCAGCTCGACTTATGCGCATTTCCTCTCCTCGGCTTGAGCCTTCAGAGGTAAAATTCCTTTTCTCAAAACTTGTCAACCTTGTATCGCTAAGTTTTAAGCATTGACTTTATTTCTATTATTTTCCAAGCAAGAAGAGGCACCCCATCATCTTCAGTCGAACAAGCACTAGTTTCTTCTTCTTCGTTCATGCCTCTAGCAATGGCAGTGACCCTCGTCTCCCAATTTAATCTAACAATTGGAAAAATACTTCACTTTGTAGAGGATGACAACATCTCTATGAGTCCTCTTCTTTTAAGCAATTTTAAGCCTTTCTTAATGTCTTTTAATCTTTGAATTTATGCTTTGAAATCTCTCTTTGCCAATCTTTCCCTTTACTAGAACTGTTAAACTTCCAACAACAATTGCTTTGATATGTCTTCCATATTTCCTACTATGTACCATTTTTGTCCAAGTCGGGCTGAGTTCACCTTTGTAACTAGTGGTATCAGGCTCATGGTTATTTCTAGCCTCCCTTGTCCCATTCTTCTATGGTTGGTTGGCTGGGGGGGCCTTAACATCTACATAGCGTGGTAACCTTACATCTTTATCATCCACTTCTTCAAATGCTTCAAAGTTTCTGAATACCTCAGATAAATTCTTTGACTATAAAGTCTTGGATCCAATCTCTGAATTGCACCAATTAACAATGAAGTGATTGAAAGTGTAGTGGATCTTGCAATACTTTTTTCGTCTGAGTTCTTCAGGTTTAGTCATCTTCTTAGTGCTGTTGGGCAAGATTACTCGAGCCCTTACTAGTTCTTCATAGATGTCTGTGGCCTTAGTTAAGTCAAAGGAATATGACTGATATTTTGGAGGTTTCATGGGTATAAACCTTCCATCATTCATCACGATCTTCTGGTCCTAGATGGGTTGAACCAATCCTTTCACCATCAAAGGTTTGAAATGAGTGGTCATCTTTGTAGCACATAGCTTTATCCCTTCTACCAGGCTGTTGTCATCTTATCCCACCTTTAGGCCTTCAAACTCCAGTTGATGTATTGGTGCTTTATTTTTATAAAAAGAAGGTACCTTAGATGAATGCTTCACTTGTTGTTCTTATGTTAATAGCTTTTCATACTTCGTGGTTGCAACCACCAGCTCATAAAGCTCATTAAACTGCACATCATATAACTTCTTCCTCAGAGGTAGTCTTAGAGCCTTCTGGCAATGGCTATGAGTTGTGCATGGTTAATTGGGAATTGGCATCTTATCTTGGTCTTTCTAAACTTCATCATCAAATCCTCTGTGAACTTATGTTCATATTACTCTACTTCCACCAGATCGTTAATGGTTATCTCAGGTTCCACCATATGGAATTGCTCATGAAAAACCATCTCCATTTGCCTTCAATTAGCAATGGAATTAAGGGGTAACAGAAAGTATCATTGGGAAGCCAATCCCACCAGCAAGTTCCCAAACAATCTTAATTTGTAGTTGGGGTTGTCCTCGAATGCCACACGTTGATTTGAAAACTTAAAAATGTGATATCTGGAAGATACATTACAATCTTCTCTGCTGAAAGTTGGGAACGCGAGCATTTTGAAATTGAGAGAGAAAGGATTATGCTCATCAACATACTTAGGATAAGGCTTTTGATATGTTATTATAAACATCGGGCGGGCTTGAGGTTGAGCATTATGTATTACCATCCTTCTAAACTCTACCAACTCATTCATGAGTTGCTGAGTGGCCATATTATTGTGTAGGGTATAAGAAGTCCCCCACTTCGACCATGGTCAATGCCCGATGAAGCTTGCCTCCGTATGTCGAGATGCCTTCATCTAGCTTATCCCCCTCCTTTATTAACCAATAGTGGTGGCCTGTAAGAAGGAGAATTGTCCCCAGTAATGAATAAGCCTTTTTCCACCTGTTTCTTCAACCGAGTTAGACGCACCGATCTTTATTCCTTCCTGCTCGATTTGCCTTCTAACATTTGGTGATGGTGGCAAAAGATCGAGCAAGCCTATCTCTTGAAACTCCTTTTTAGGGTATTGTTGATGCCTGGTTTCAGCCCCTTCCTTCCTTTTCCCTTTGTTCTTATTTTCTTCAAGTAAGGGAAACTGAGGAATTGCTGGCTCTTTTTTCTGGGCTTGTCTCCACGACTCCTTCACTGGCATAGCCATCTTTTAGTGTAGAGTATTCTAACTCCAATTTTCTTTGTAGCGTCCTTGTTAAGGAACACAACCTTCTAACCTCTAATCTGGTTTCCAGAGAGATCTTTTCCATACTCCTCAGTACTTGTATCATAGTGGCTTGCAAATCTTCATTAGTGAACTTTCCACCCAATTTCTCATAATAGGTCAAGCTCTCTATGATCTCGGGGCTGTGTGGTGAAGGAAAATCTTATGGATGATTCGTCATATCTACTTTTGGCGGGCAAAGAGGTTGCCCAAATGCTACCTTCCACTTGAATGTTCGATCCTTCATTCGTCTTGACAAACAATATTACAAAATGTGCCCCACCAGACGTGCCAAAATTAAGTTTGTGCAAGATTTGTTCCTCGCACAATTCCCTTGGGTCCTGCCTGTCATGCAAGGTTTGCTACTTGGTGTACTGCAATATGAGTTTGTTATTAGTTTGAATGGTGCCTTTGTGGGGTCTTTGTTAAGCTTGAGGCTCGTAATCAAAACTAATATGAATCTGAGCGTACCATTGTTATTTCTGTATAACATATTGTTCTTTTCAATTATTAAATGGATTGATTAATTGCACCACAAGTTACTTTGACTTTTTAGTTCGATTAGATTGTTCACAAATGGGTTAAGTATGTCAAAGTTCTTTTTTCTTGCCTTGTAAACAAGGACTTTACTCATAATATCATATGTCTAATTAAAAGGAGTCCAAGACCCTTCAAGTTATTTCTTTAGTTACAGTTTTAGACTAACAATAAAGAAGCTAGATTAATTAGTTTAGCAAGATTAATCTTAGATGAAACTTTGAATGAAGGCAATTGAAAATGATGTAGGATCCAATGAAAGATGCAAAAACGACATATCTATTTTAGGTAAGTACAAACAAAAGAGACTCGGGCAAGATTACAACCTTGTCAGGCAAGGTTCATCTTCTTGCAACCACTTCTCTTTGTGTTTTACAGGGATTGAAGTCTTAGAAAATAGAACATAAACCGAGTTTACCTAAAGAGATTCGATACTACAGCACAAGAGTAAAGGTTGAACAAACTAAAACTTTCTGGTTTCTTGCTATTAGAGTGCAGAGTTGAATGTTTTTTGATTGATTGGTTGAGAGCCCTTCTGTTTGCATCCCTAACTACTTTTATAGACCTTCTAGCCCAATTGTGCAAGCCTCCCCTTTTGGTGATAGATTCTAGAGTATGGTGAGTCACCATCTACTTTTGTTATTTACCTATCCATGTCATGGGAAAGTACTTTTTGCTGGGGGTGAGTTGCCCTCTTTCACTTGTCACTTCACATAGGCTTGCTGCCTATTTCTCGGGAAAAAAAAATGATTTTCAATTCTTCATGGGCTGCCAACTGTGTGAGCCCAATTCTCCTTCTACTTTTCACGTTCTTGGGCCTTCATCCGCAATAAGCCCAACATTAAATATCCACCCAAACAATCGTTACTTAGACCGATTGGTGAATGATAATTAGACACTCTATATCTACAATTAGATTTGAGCCTTCAAATTTTCGACATCGTGTAGTCCATTGTATCCGCAAGAAAACCTGCAGCCAGGAAAAACAAAAGCAACACAGTTGCTAGAAATGTTTGAAATGACATGTCAGTCACCAGTTTGTTATGATTGCTAAGATAGTAGAAAAAAAAAGACCTTTGCCAATCACGACTCCCTGATCTCAATAATAAAAGGAAAAACAAAGTAAAGATAAATTTGCAGATGAGTTAGCATCAAAGCACGAATTGAGAATTGAAGAGGTTAACACGAACCCTTCATCTTGTCCATTGCATGTACAGTTTCGGTCTCTGCAGGTGTCTTCAGCTCACAATCACCAATAACTACGTAAGCAACCATCACCAGAAGTCGATATACTGATAAAATCCCAATTGGCCTAGGCAGTAGCCCCATGGTGCCATCAGCGCTGCCATCATATGCGTTGCTTAATGAGATTATGTCATGACACCCAGTGTACAACCTAACTATCAACACCACCAAATCGTCACCTGCCAATGCTTCCAGATGCACCCATTGACGTCGAAGAAGAATTGGGGCAGTGAAATATTATATCATGACGGCCCAGATGCACCGAGTGATCAGCAACAGCAAGATTGCAATTGCAGTCTGTCCACTTGAACTGCCTTCCAATATAAAAGAAGTCCTTATCAAACCATGAGGGTAGAATTAGAATTTTCATCTAGCTTGAGAGTTGTCATCAGCATAAATGGATGCAAAAGCATCTGCAGCACCAGCTGCAAGCAGCACTTCGTAGGGATGGAAGGCTAGGGAACTAACAGGACCAATCTTTTGGGCCATAAAGTAAGGGTAGTATCTTATTGTGCCTAATTGTGCACCCTCCAAACTGAAGACCTTCATGAGCTGTTTGGCCGAGCCACTGGCAATGAGTGGGGCATGCCTATGAACGGCTAAAGCAGTCAGTGAACCCCTGTGAGCTTCAATCGTGAGGTAGGCATCCCTGTCGTTTCTGATATCAAGGAACTGAATGTCACCAGCTTGAGACGCACTTACAATCTGGATGAAGATGAGAATTTCATGTAAGTTTCACTTTCTATCGGAATAACTTCAGAAACAATATCAAACAAGGGTCTCTCCACTTACCTTGGAAGGATCAAGTCCGGGTTGAAAGCCGATCCCCACAACTCTTTCCACCTTCTGAGTGTGTGGCTGGGTTGAACAGACAAGCCTAAGATTTACAAACAAACAAGTAAAACAGCACAAAACACTAGCTTAGCAAATAATCAGCACCACATTAAGAAATCCAAGGTTAGTGAGGAGCTGAACTCAAACGCAGTAGCATACTAATACGTTTATTGTTTACGTTTGTTGTTTACTTATGGAGGGACAAATGTACAGTGACAGCACCAGACATGAAGCAACTGTACATCTTGGTCTGCAAATTTAACTATTTGTCACTTATCATTTGCAGTTGGTTGCAGCACTTTCACAAAGAACATAAGTCATATATTTGCCACAGGAGACATGAAGAGCTTACATTTCAGGAGTTCGCACATCATAAAGTCTGACAGAACCATCTACAAAACCAGCTGCAAAGTGACCTCTGTGAACTTGAGAAGCAGACTAACAGACAATGCAGGAATCAGTCATTATTAAACCATTCATTTTCTAGATTGCAAAATCAATAGCCAAATCCATACATCTGTAAATTGATAAAAAACAGCTGTAAATTCAGATGTCGAAAGTAAGTTGAGGTGGTAAAAACTCACCAGTGCTGAGATGCTACAATCTGATGAAGAAGGAATAGAATTAATAAGCTGCTCTTTATCCAGATCCCAAAGCATAATGGGTGATAGTTCACCAGAAGCATACTAGCAAATGAAGCAATGCAGAAGTAATCAAACATTATTCACAACAAAGAACAAGAATCACAAAATGAAACAGAACTTGTCCTATAGCCCTAACGTATTACATCTTAAAGAGAGGAAGTACCAGATATCCAGATTGTTGTTGCCAATCCACAACAGCATTCAAACTTCGCACCCCAGGTTTATGACCTTGAGTTGAAGAAAATGCGGTGACAAGTTTCTGTTGACCCTTCAAAGTGTAATCTTTCCAAATTCGAATGTTTCCATCACCTAATTATATGACCGTAAAAAGGTGCAACTTATTTAGAAAGGTTCAATGATAGCACCCTTCCTGACGAAGAAGCTAGTTTTTCAGTAGTATAGAATATTACTTGAAGCAGCAAGAAGCAAGCTGTCATCAAGCTCATTGACAAGGCAGAGCTTGGAGATTCCTTTGTCAGGAAAATCATGATTATCGAAGCTGTTGAGAAGGGTAGCCTCCTGCTCTTGGTAATTCCACACCCTATGAAGAAATAACCACCAAAACATAAACATGACTACATAGTCAAAGACTGAGGGTAATCAATAAATCTTAGCAATATGAACCAAATTCACTCATACAAGAATACATATGCACCCAATGGTTACCCAAAACCCAAACAAAACCTCATAGTTTGACAAACAGAGGCCATTTCATTTCTCAAACAAGGTAGCAACCCTCCATCATTCATCAAATATTGATGCATATATTAAAAGGATACCTATTAATAATCGTACAAAACTAAACTAAACAACAGAAGAAAAAGACAATTTCATATGATACTATTTCAATCACAGCTGTTTCTGTCTATGAAAGTTTATCGTGATGAATAAAGAAAACATAGAATGAATATTACCCACACATTACATAAATAGTAAAAGGTGAAATTTTAAAAAAGTGATAACCTACACACCTGATTTGCTCATTCTCGTCTGCAGCGACCACAATAGGAGAAAATGGTTTCAGCAAGATTGTTTTTATACCCGTCTCAAACTTGGTGTCCCAGCTAGCAATTTGATTATTAAGCTTGCTCACAGCTGACCACGAACATGGAAGATACATTAATTCCACAAAAAAGCCTAAATAATGATAAACAAAACTAAAAGATAAAGAGCAAAAGGAAGAATTAGAGAAGAAAACCAACAAAAGTGCTGGCATTTAACAATGTGCTCCAAGGAAAATTTTTCTCTCTCCTCTCTTCTACTTAGTACTTCTTTACTGTCATCTGCCACAATGAGAAGTGGCTTGGAAAAGTGCCCGCAACTCCAATTGTAGATGGTTGATTGAGGAAGAAAACTGCATTCCGAGGTTCCAGAAGTTCCCCCAAAACCTAAAAGTGGATCCGCTAATCCAGAATCTGGACTCATTAGATGAGGCCTGAAGTCTAAAGAGCATACTCTCCGTATTCCAGCTAAGTGATTTGGCCGAGGAGGGCTGACAGGAGGAGTTCGGAATGGCATGTGACCTGTCAAAAATCGGTTACTAAACAAAGAGACTAGAAGTGCATAGATAGATTAAACTAACTAGCAATACCATACATCACCAAAATCAAATGGAGCTCAATGTCAGGTTAAAGAATAACTTCCAAGATATTTTTTACCCCCCAGCTCCATTGATGTTTTAATATACTAATGTTAGAACCTGCAATAAATAAAAAGGACAATGACTGGGAGAAAAAGTAAGTAATTCTCGTATCGTTACCTCCATTCATATCTAACCATGAAGAAGACCGAGCTAATCCACCAAAACTGGGAGTCGGAGTTGCTGTAATGGATTCACCAGGTCGAACACTGTTACCAGTGGGCTTTACGGGTTTGGCCACCACTTGTTCAATCCCTATAATGGCCAAAACCCGCCTACCAAGGCTTGCAATGCATGGAGATGGATCCTTGGCTAAGGTACACATAGCCAATACACACAGCGAATACATTGCATTGTCCAGGGGTTTAGGTGTTGAGTGGTTGACAACACCATTGCTCACACCATCATTTAATATTCCAGAATCAGAATGATGAGATGAATCGTCAGACAACGGTGATCCATGCATAATTCCAGAACTCGCTAGAGGGCTGCTGGTGGAGACTCTCCCATCTCGACCCAATGAGTTATCATTGGTCCCTCTCAACAGTGGATCAATTTGAGATGAAACAACACTACCTTTAATATGAGCCAAAGAGGGGAAGGAATTAGATTGTGGTTTCCAATATGCAGCAGCTATTGACTTGAGGTGCTTGTTGTGGCCAAAGGCAAAGCGTCCCAGTGCTGTAAAGAAGATAAAGTTTACTCAAATCAACTTCCTACAAGAAATCTCTTGATGATCAATTAAATCTCAGGGCCCCGTAAAACAATCCCTCTGTTGTTTTGAATGAGGGGAAAGAAGGAAAGGAAAGAACACTAGGGTATGTACTGGTGACAGAAAATCTAGTGCATATTTATTACCCAAAAGCAATAAAATTCCAACCAAACGAGTATGTTTAATTGATTATCAGATGGCTAATCACATACCAACAGCAACTTCGGCCCTGACCAGAGGGCTGCCATCTGAAGCAACACTTAATAGACTTCTAACAATACTAATTTCAGCTCTAATCTTTTCATCATCATCGTATTCTTCTTCTCCACCAACGCCATCTCTACATGAGCCTGAACCCACATCAAGCAGGGTACCCAGTGCGAAAACAGCAGAAGCTCTAACCTGAAATAGAACAATCTCAGTGACTAGGTTACATAGCCCAAAAATGTCATTGGTTAAAAATAGAGTCTATATAGTCAAAGTTTACCTCTGGTTGGGGCTCAGAAAGTAGAGGAGCACATATTGCAGCGGCATCTGCCTGCAAACCAAATATTTGGGCCTCTGTAAAATCCTCCCACAGCTTTCCCAGACAGAGGCAAAGCCACTGAAGAAATAGTGGTTCTGTCTGTGTATCATTTAGAGTTGGACCCTGAAGGTGCTTCAAGCAAACATGTATCAAACCTGCTTCAATACAAGCCTCCTGCCCACGTCTATGCCCATCGACAATTACAGCTAAAACAAAAGCAGCCATTGCACGCTGTTCTGGATATGCTTCCATACTATCAAGAAACCTAATGAAATATGTATGACCCCCATCCTTCACTAGATCAACCTGACATGACTGATTCCACCAAAAAATAAAAAATAAAATGTGTGATTACTACTGTGGTACTAACTGAGGAACTGAAAGGGGGCAGGCATATGGCACCAGAAGGGAACTTATAAACAAAAAATGGATCGAAAATAGATCTTAAGTTCATGACCCATCAGGAATAAAGCAAAGAAGCACATGCTTCACAAATTGTTGATGACAAAGAGTTTTGATATGGAGACATTGATGCCTAAGATTAGAAGCAGGTATTAAGATAGTATGAAACAGTAGCAAATTCTAAGATTAGAAGCAGGTATCAAGATAGTATGTGACAGTAGCAAATTCTTATTAAGAGCATGTCACAATGACAGCAATTATAAACATCTGGAGAAAGAATGTGCTGCAGTAATCTAGGCATACCTTATCAAGAGCAAGAATTTTTGTCCATATAAATACAAGAATTTGTCGTAGTTCAGGTGTCGTTTGCAACAGCTTCAGAACATACGGAAAAATCCCAACAGACAAGCCCTAGAAAACAGAAATGTGAAATTTTTAAAGAACATCAAAATATTGCTCTCAACCAACATAGAGATAACAAGACAGAACATTTTCAAATGACAACTCATACCAGATCTACAGCCCAGGGTCCCATATCAAGGAATCTTCCAAGAAGAACCAGAGCTCGAAATCGGTGGCATTGACTGCGTAATACCTTAAATACAGATGTTATTCAGTCAGGGATTATTAAGAAACAGAAGAAGAAGAAAAAAAAAAAAAAGCGCAGAGAATGAACTTAATACAATGATACATGAATGAATAACAAACCAGCAAGTTGAATCAACATAACGAAGAAAAGTAGAACCGCTATTCAAGCCAAATTACACCACCACAACTTACAGTCTATGGCACTACTCTGTTATCATCTCAATAGAAATGAACTCAACCAATACTCCCTAGGACTACCATGTAATTTTTCCCAGTTATTTCATAGCTGGGTTTACAAATAAGGTGCTGTTACCAAATACACCTAATTAAGGAACTTTATATCAATTGTCTCAAACAGGATACAAACGACCTCAAGATTACTATTTTCAGCCAACTTTAAAAACAAAATCAATTAGACATGACATAAAGAAAGAAAGCATACATAATACCTATATCCCAGAATGCTTTAGTACCAAACTAAAAAGTGATAAGTATAATATCATACCTGAAGAACAATAGGCAATTGCTCTGGTGGTTTCTTGTTTTCAGACCCATGGTCAAGCCATACCTCAAAAGCAGTCAACTGCTCAGTGAAAAATGGGCTTGGCTTGAATAAAGCAAAAATATAATGATCAAAGTGAATGTCAGGCATGTCACAAAAATACAAAACAGGAAAGTCATATAAATATCTAATCCCACATAACACTGTAAGGAACCTAACTGCATAACATAAAAAATGCAACAAACTTGCATAAAAAGAACCCAGAAGCACACCTGGAACTCCGCATTAGGATCCTCAACCAATACTGGAAGCTGAGAAAGGCATATCTCAGCAGCCATGTCCCATGCATCCCTGCAGTTAGCATAAGCAAAAGAGGTGACAATTGATTTAACTAACATATGAAGCATGACTGAAAAATTCTCTCCTTTAGTACCACATATGATGCTGATGGGTTGGAGGCAACTGTGGGTGAGAGATCGGAGAGCAATTTGCAGATCGCATAATTCGCTCAGCAAGTAAAAAATTACGAAAAAGGCTGGCAACTAGCAGGTCTTGTCTGAACAGTCTCTGGAAAAGATCTGCAACACAGAACTGAGTATTACATCGATGTACTGTCACCAAAGCAGACATAAATGAACATCCAGTTCAAAAACATTAGATAACGGTACAGCAGAAAAGAAAAAAAAAACTACCGTGAGGGAGAACATTCCATGCAATCATATCAGTGACCGCAGTAAAAATCCAATTCAGCTCGCCCAAAAGCGTTTTCCGGTCATTTTGACAGCCAGGGATTTTATCTATTAGCGAATAATCAAGAGACTCATGAAGTAATGATCGTGTGCAGAACCTGAGAGAATACATAACAATCCAATAAGTAGAAACATATAGAACACTAGAACATAACAAAGAGAGAAACAAAAAGTGAAAGCATGAGAAATTATAATCAACGACGGTAATTGTACAAACAGCCTAGTGGATGAAGTACAACTCCTAACAGTAGACAAAACTTAAGACCAATAATCACTTCTTGTAACAAAACAAGGAGAACAAGCTTCACCATCTTAATGCCATCTTGATGGGAGTTGTGAGGCAAGAAGTAAACACATCAGCCGGAAATTCAGCACTCTGTGGAAGAGTCTCGTGTGCTTCACAAGCCGCTAGCAGGATACAATCCCTTGCAGATCCAGATGAGCTAGAGCCACCCCAATCATAAAGCTAACCAAAAAAAAATCCAACTATTACATTGAAGTCTATACGAATTAATAATACCAGTTCAGACATCTTGGAAACCTAAAATATCAAATTTAGAAAAACATTCATAACTGCAGTGTAGGATACCTCAACGAAAGAATTGACTATCAGCCCAGCAGCAGAACAATCAAACACATATATTGAAGGTGTCTTCAACCAGGAATCGAGGTCACTAATTGGCAAGGGGATATACTGTGTGTAACTCTGCACCCAATAAAAACTAAATCAGAACTACAAAACATTATTTAAAGATAGTAAGGAACAAAACAGCAGGCTTCAAATTGGTAAAAACCTTATTAAAGAGCCAAAATTCACCATTAGCAGTTGGCTTGGGTACACCATGTCCATTATAATGGAAAAGAACTCTCTCAGACTTGGCATATTTGCGGCATGTATTACAAAGTTTCTTCACTTCTTCTACTGTAGGATCAAGCTGAACCTTGTAGCGAGCCTGGTCGCATATTATCAAACAAAATAAAAGTTAATTTTAGACAATAAAATTAACAGCATGCACAAAGAAAACAAAAACTGTCTCACCCTTGGTTGCCACCTTTCGTACTGTTGACTCAAGGTTTTACCAATTGTTTCAAGAGCTTTTTGCGGAGCCATAGCAAATGGATCTGAACACAGAATAAAAATGTTAACAGCATGGTAAACTTGACAAACAAAAAAAATATAATATCCAAAAACATTACGTTGCCATAGGGATAATAAAAGTAAAAGTGTTTGGTTGTGTCTAAGTTATAATGCTTGTAGACCCCACAACTGTGTATCATTCCCTCTTGGCAACATGTATTTACCATTATATTTAATAATGGGTACAAGAAGATGTTAACAAAAGATCAATTCAAACTCCACTAAGGAATATGTCATATTTAGTGAAACTTAAATCAATCTTTTACGTCATGCACTGTAGAATTATTAGCCATAGCATGCCAAGGGTGCTTTGGTATTGAAAATGAATTAGAGAATCTAGAACTCACGCACTCTACACCAAGTCCAACAAGTAAGAAACTCAATAAGACAACCCAAACGGTTAAAGAACAGAATTAATAACCAATACACTACCAACAAACTAAAGCAAGAGTAAAAATCAGCAGTGTAAAAGCACCTATCCAGCACTCCATTCTGGCACAGGGAGATATCTTAATTACATCGGGCGGATCAACGCTAATGTTTAAACATAATACCAGAGCTACACATCCCGTCTTCATCTGCAAAGAAGTTGAAAGTTAAACCAAAATAAGCACAAATTAACGAGTACAATATTGTGAGCGTCTTCAGTCGGAACAAAAACAAGAAACTAAGATCAACAAATCGAATAGCTCCGAGTAAGAATTACTTTAAGCTTTGGCCATCCCCGGAAAGAATATTGTAGCTATATTTTTTAAAGGAAACAGTTATATTTAAGAATTCCTTCAATGCCGTCGTTGAAGAATAGGGTTGAAAGTTCATAACAAAAAACCTAAATTAGCAATTCTACAACAGAAATTAGTGTCTAATTCTAAAATCCTATATAAAGATCAGGTTTTCCTCAGATAATAGTTCAACCAACATTGACAGTGCCACCAAAGTCACCTACAGGCTAGACCGCAAGGGGCACCTAGGCTATCTGTGTGACTTCCATTACTAACCCTAACCAACTTATGATCACTGGTAAAACTGCATAAGAAAAGTCTTCAAAATTTCTAATGGTTTGCGCAGTGAAAATTTGGAAACAAAGATAAAAGCAGAAGTTTTGTCCTTTATTAGTCTCAATAATAGAGTCAAGAACATGGGATTGATCATAGACATTCCAAAACCGTACAAAATCATTTTTCTCGAATCAAAGTTCACCAACCATTGTACAAATTCTGCCTGTCATGTGATACATCACACAAGTAATGGTGGTTTAAATTCTCAGGGTAGCCACACATCCTTCTGTAACAAATTGCAAAAAGAAAATGTCACGTTTCTGTGGGAGGTTTGAATGGATCACACAGCAACAAAAACTAGTGGTAATAGCCAACTGAAAGGAACCTGACCATTAAGAGGGCAGGAAAAAGAAAAACCCGTCCTTACAATCAGCAGCTTCCAGCCGGATATGACTGGAAAATGAATTGCGTACAAGGTGGTTTCTTGAGTGATTACTCCTTTTTAAGAATTGTTCAATTATCACTTTCTTTGAGACCACATGACGTATACACTTTGGTTTTTTGTTGGTTTTACAGAGAAATAAACAAACTGAATTTGGGAAGTCGTCTTTCGACCTTTTCTCTTTCTGCACGCATCCCCTTATTTCTACCATTAGGATTGAATAAAACATAGAAGAATAAATGTAAGAAAAAGGGAGGAGTGCAGAAGGAGAAATCTGGGAGTGTGAAAGTCGCTTCCCATTGATCGAAACCTAATTATGAGAAATTGACAAACTTTTCTTTCCTATCAAACTAAAAATGGAATTATTCAAACAACCCATTGATCGAAACCTAATTCAAAACCAAGTTGTTGGGTTGTACCACCAAAGTATCTGATGATTACGAATTCAAAAGAACAAAATTAGCGAGGGAATGTTAAAACTTCCTAACCACAATACAAATACCTGATTTTTACATAAACAAATTAACAATTTTTCATAACAACTTTAATTTGAATTGCTGGGATTTTATCTACAGATTTCAGTTTCAGAAATATGAAGAGCATGTACTGAAAAAAGGGGCTTACTCGGTCTTTAGGCCGCCATTCCGATGGTCCGGTGGGCACGCAAGCCTCGAAAGCATTGTGCCGAAGTTCACACAATACAGTGGTTTGGGGCAAGTAGGCCAAGCTTGTGGCGGTGGTAGCGGTGGCATTTCCATAGCTACTACTGGCAGTTTCTGATTCCCTTCTCTGCGAGCTCAAATCTCCGTCATCGTGGCTGGAGGCGCAGTCGTCCAACTGGCTGGAGACCACCACCACCGAGGATTGCGAAAACCGGGAGGCCATCAAATCCCCCCCAATGCCATTCAAATCGAAAACCCTCAGAGCATATACAGAGAAGCATAAAGCCCCATTGAATGGTTTACCTCAAATTCTAAGAATTTAAGGCTTATTTCCAATATTGATGCATACGTTATGGATGACTCAACTAATTTTAATTTAAAAATACTTTCCTCTCAGATCGTGCGAAGTTTGAATAGTTAACCTCAAATTCTAAGAATTTTAGACTTAGTTCTGATATTGACATGTACGTTTACGAATGATTTAACTAATTTTTAATTTAAAAGTATTTTTTTTCAAAACGTGCAAAGTTCCAATTCCAACTAAATAACATTACATTTGGGGATGTACAACTCTCTTAATTTTGTACACAATCTGCTGTGAAGTTAATTTAATTCATGGATTGCTGCAATGCATCGAGGTCAAATTGCTGCATAAACTGAGCCATCCACAATACACAACAAACATGCAGTGCAGCATTCGAATAAGTACAAGGGCATTTCAAGGGGTCCTACAAGAATCAAAGTGAGGTAGACAAAGGCTCAGTGCCATCCTTCACTCACTCACACACACACACACACACACACTCTCTCTCTCTCTCTCTCAAGGACAACCAAACCAACCAGTATAAAAGCTCCTCAAAAGCCAAAAGGATAAAGGTTGACCTACAAGTCTGCAGTTTTATACACAGTGTATAAAAGATGTTGAAATGATCCAAACACAATGACTTTACCATCACCTTTTTCCATGTCCAACTTTTTCCTCATTGCTTTGTGCATCACACCACTGCAGGAAAAGAAAAGAAGGTTTCCGATATAGGCCTCTTACAATACTTACATTCACATAAAGGTTTACAACAAAATAAATATGATTTCTATGTATCCTATTTTCAATTTTACTTAATGGCTCATTTATTCTTTATTATGGATTTTGATTCTCCTTTAATTTATTTAACAGTGGTCCCAAAAAATGAGAGATTTTTCAGTGTGACCGGTACACGAGGTGGTACACCACGTGTCATTATACAAATGAGGGGATAAGTGTGTTAAAAAGTTAATAACTTAAAAAGTAAAATTTCTCACCACTTAGATACAAACATGTGGTGTATTGCCCATGTTCCCATCATAATAAAAAATTTCTCCGAAAAAAGGGGTGCAAGAGGTGAAAAAATGAGCAGAAATAATTTCTCTAATAAAAACCTAAACTCAATATGATCCTGAATATTAGTTAATTGCTTAAAAGCCCTTCATTTGAATACCATAAAACCGTTTTCATTTCATTCCATTTCTCCTGTATATTTGGTTCTATGGAATTTCATAAACCAAGCGCTTATGGGTAGGGATCGACAACGGTTATGGCGGACGGGTAACCGCGATTATTTACCCAGAACCGTTTAAGCTTTTACCCACATAACTGTTTACCCGTTGGGTATTTACATAAACGGATATACTCATACCCATAACCGTTTATAAACAATTAATCATACTCATAACCGCATACCCATAATTGCGTACCCGTTTACTTTTTTTTTTTACCCGTCTACCTATTTTTTTTAACAACTTGAAAATTAATAAGAAATTTGTCATAATTTTCTTTTTTCTAACTATTAAATACTGTTATAAATACATTTAACATGTATTTTTATATTAACGACAATATTATTTATGAATATATGCGATGTCTCCCAATTATTTGACGGTCAATCTATTACAAGAATCATGCATGGTTGTAGGTTAATTAATATTCTTGTATACATATATACATACATATATATATATATATGTAAGTACGCATCAGTCTGCTAATAGGCTAATTTGATAAATATTTGGATTTTTATTTAGAAACATATGTTCATCGATCCAAGCCATTTAATCGATTTCTAATTTTGGGGTCAAATATTTATTGAAAACTCGAGGCCAATTAAATATATATTTATAGGTACGCATCATCTAATAATAACATGTTTATAAATACTCAAGGTAATCATTATCTTGAATTGGTCAAAACTCCAAAAGACTCCAAAACAAAACTGTCGAACACTAATGCTTTAGCACATTCAATCACATATATTAAACATTAGCTCATTCTATCACTTATATTTTTCTCTCAAGTGAGGCATAAATATATATATATATATATATATATATATATATATTATATGGCCCTTTATAATCAAATATATCTCGGGATACTAAACTTAGTTAGAAACTAATTTTTTTTTAATTTTTATAGTTTTACATATATTAAAATAAACGGTTAAATGGGTATCTATTTATAACCACGGTAATACCCATAACCGTCTATTTAAATTTCACGAGTAAACGGTTATACCCATAATGATTTATTTATCTAAACGGTTACCCATAACCGTAACCATCAAATTTAAATGGACGGATAACCGCGGTTACTCATAACCAATGGGTATTTGCCCATCTCTAATGAGGATCCTCCTGACCAAACTTATCGGACCGTTGAAATTTTATCCAACGACTACAATTATTATAACTTTTAAAGGGGGCCCTGTTTGTAGTCATTGGATAAAATTTCAACGGCCCGATGGGCTTGGTCAGGAGGATCCTCACCCTTTGCTCGGGAGAAGATCATGATCCGCATGTTTTAATATGGGTCTAATGTATTACACAGTCATAGGTAGGGTCTAATAAGTAGAGCAATTAAAGTGTACATAATTTGAAAACAAAATTGCACTGACTGTCGTTAAATGTTTTATCATGACTTTTCCAGAATTAACATGGAACTTTAAGTTACACATCAAATCTCATCATTTCATAAAAAACTCTCATCTTTTTTAGTGTAAAATATATCGTTATATTAAAAAAAAATTAAAAAAAAAGTACTTATCAAATCTCATCGTTTCGTCAAAAACTCTATCCGACTCCTGTTTTGAATTTTCCTTGCGATTTCTGCGGATTAGTATCCAAATTTGAATTTGAATTCGCATGAAGCTATGAGAACTACAAGTAATTTTACATGTTTTCGTTGAGTCGTTTACAACAGTAAGCTTTATTTTTGTTAGTATTTGTTACATGATTCGCGAGCATTATACATTGATTGTCTTATGTAAGTAATTGCTCAAGAGGCTTTTGACATTTATTGTGTTAGCTTTGGGGGCTTTTAACGTTACCAAGATGGAGGACTACATCTTATCGTTAGAATCATGTAAAATTACTTATTCCACCATGATAGGTAGTTACAATATGATAGGTAGTTTAGCTTGTACAAGTACTTATATGACAGGTAGTTCAGACTGTTAAAGTACTTATATATAATAGGTAGTTTAGATTATAAAATATCAGTTGAAATCTAAGTTTATGCCGACTAATATTATAATATGATAGGTAGTTTAGCTTGTACAAGTACTTATATGACATGTAGTTTAGACTGTAAAAATATTTATATGATAGGTAGTTTAGATTGTAAAAGATCAGCTGAAATATGAGTTTATGCCGACTAATAGGGTACCTAAGTTGAAAAAAAATAGAAAAATAATATCACTAATAGCGAGGCCCCCTAAGAGATTTATAGGTGTCCAAAATTTTGGAAATGTCCTAAATTAATTTTAGGAAATATGTGGTGCGAATAGAATGACTTTAACTTTGGCTTATAGCACACAATTTTTTGTGAAAAAAAAAATTGAAATTTTTAGCTTTAAGAAATATTTTGCGCTGGAGTTAAGGAAAATATTGCAAAACCTTTGGATGTAATCCTACCGATTATTAGGTCCTGAAACTATTTTTTATTGATTCTTAAAGTGGGAAAATAAAAAAAAATATCTTTAAATTTAGGTTTTAAATCATTGATTACAAGTGTTTAAAAATGAATTATAATATATTTTTCACGGAAAAAATATATTTTAAAAAACACGAATATGATAGTTTGTTATTATGGTAAGAGAACAAAAAGAAACATTAACAAAATAAAAATTAAAAATAAAAATAAAAAAGTGAAGAAAAAAATTGAAAAGGGAGGGATCGGTAAGAAGATAGCGACTGTTTGTGGTATTAGTCGCTAACTTTATAGCGATTATTCTGAAGCAGAATACCTAGAAAACTACCGAACGTATCATTTTCTATTTTTTTTTCTTTTTCCATTGAATAGCTATAGTAGAGTAAAATAGTAATCACAATGCAAAGTATCAACCTAACAACAAAATGTGCTGACACATGGAGTCCTATTCATGGACCTAAATAAAAAATAACTAAAAATTGGACTAATCTAATTGTTAGGCCATAAAATTGGGAAAGGGGTCCTTTCCGAATCTCTTCCACCAAATCCATCCAATCACCTAATTTGGACCCTTGAAATTTAGTTCAACAGCTAAAGTAGTTATAACTTTTAAAGGGGCCCCCTGTTTGTAGTCATTGGATCAAATTTCAAGGGCATGTATTGATTGATTGGGTGAATTTGGTGGAAGGGATCCGGAGAGGATCTCTTTCCATAAAATTGGACCTATTTCAAGTTAGTTTATTTATACATAACAGATTTGTAAGGAAGAAGTTAATTTAAACCACATATTAATGAAACTTTTTTTATCAACAATAAGAGGGTGAAAAAACATTTTTGTCTTCTACCACAAAATAAAATTATGGACAATAAAGTAATTTGCACAAACTAAATTTTACAGTTGTTTTTAAAAGCATCATCTACATGTAATCCTAACAAATCACCTACAAGAACTTTGGATTTTTACGGGTGTATTGTTTTATGAAACTTCGAATTTCTATGGCACTTATTTTCAAAACTTCAAGTTCAAGTTTAAGTACGAACTCTAGGTTCATGATACCTGCAAACAAACACAATATACATATGTAGTGAAAGAGAATAGCTTCAGGACCTATGTGTGAAAAGAATGAGTGACGACCCAAAATATGGGGCTGTCGTGGTTTGTAGGCCCAAAAGAGTGGTTGTTGGGTTGCTGGGCAACAAAGGAGAAGTAAATGGGTTAACAGATTATATACCCAATTATTGGGCTAAGAAGGAAAAGTGAAAAACAAGGCCTAACCCATGGGCTTGGTATTTCATGTGAGCCAAAAATAAAACAAGGCCCAAAAGAAAAAAAAAACAAATGGGACGGTTTGGTGCATATGCCCAATTGGGTTGCGAGTCGACTGCAGGCAACTCAGGTCCGTAAGAAAGGTGATGCAAAACGGCTTTGTTTTGGACCTTAGAGTTTTGGAGCAAGAACGACTTAGTGGCTCGGGCAGCGCGACTTCAGGCTGCTGCTCCTATGCGTGTAGGGTTTGAAAAATCCCTTTTTTTTCTTCTCTTATTCATGCATATTCAATTCACCACAATTATAAGAACAATAAATTTAAGCTGATTATATAGTTTGAAAAAAAAAAAACGTAAAATTAGAGTTCATGCTTCATGGTGAATGTTTCATGCAATCATTGCTGAAAAAAATATCGAAATTGAAACCATGTTATATAGATTACTTGGATTGCTTGATGAATATTGTGAACAACTTTGTAGTAAACAAGCATTCAGTTCCTTAGCTCAATGTCAGGAGCGTGTTTAACAATGTATTGTGGCCTAAATTTAACTGAAGGAGAGAGAGAGGGGTGCAGCTGCATAAAGAGAAAAGATAGGCTTGGGAATTACTATAATGATATTTCTTCGTACCTTGTGCCTTTTTTAAGAAAAATAATGGGGTTACTTGCCCTACAAGTAATACAAAGTTGTACCTTTTTGTTTTTTGTAATTAATTCTTGAATTGTTTCTCACTAACATTAGTAGTTGTTGAGATTATAAATACTCAAGTAATGATTTCTATTGTGAAATTGGTGTGAATGCCCACATAAAGAAAACAATCACATATGGCTAAGGGTGGAAAGTGGAAGAATAGAAGTCAAAATTATATTGCTTAAATAGTAGAAGTTTGGTTTTTATTGTTTTGGTGTGTAAGCCTTTTACATGCATTAAAAGAGACGTATGCTTGTATCATATGGGTAGTAAAAAAAGATGAAAAGCAGAAAGTAATAATCATGTTTTCCTCATTTGTCCCTCTCTACGTTCATTTCTCTTATCTGATACTAGTGAAGAAAATAAACAGAATAATACATGGCTCTCGTTTCACTTCAATCTCTAACAACTCTGATAATATATATAGGTACGCATTGTAATACCCTGAAATTTTAAATATATGAATTTTATATTCATAATTGTGAATATGTGAAGAAAATCGAAATTTAATCGATGTACGGTCACAAAGATAAAATTGGGAAAATCATAAAGTTTTGTTCCGGGAATTATTATAAAATACATATTCGTGGTATCAAGAGTTTATATTATTTTTCGGGAATTTATATTAATTTATTTGAGTTCAGTTTTAAATTAAACTACTTACAAGGTTTAAAGTTTGGAAATTAACTATTTAAAATCCGTAGACCTTTGAGGTCACAATTTATATTTTTGAATAGAGCCCGATCTCACGAACGCGTAAGCGCAAACCGTTCTTGAAACGGAGTTATAACGAAAGAGTTACTAACGTTTAAAATCAGGGCTATTTTGGTAATTTTATTTCCCTTTAGAAGGCTCCAGAAATCTGGAGCCATGAGTTGTGCCACATGTGTGGCTGTGATTGAAGAGAAAAATAAATGATATGGTTGTGATTAAAAGAAAAGAATAGAAAGGAGGGTGACCAATGGGGAGAGAGAACGGGGAGGAGAAAGGAGAGAAAAGAGACACGGGGGATCGGGACCCGGGCCTTGGTGACCCGACCCGGTCGGCGCCCATGCATGTTTTAGACAGGTTTTCACCCATTTTTCCGGTGAATTGCTTCAAGAAACCACTTAGAAATCCCTCCACGACCTTCCATCTCCCTATTACACCCCAAAAATCATGAAATTTGGCCTTGCATTTGGGAAAAACACACCCATGGGTGCCTCGACCCTTCTTGCTCGGAAGCCACCAAATTTGAAATGATTTGGTTCAATTACCACCACCATGAGACTACCTTTTAGGTCTGAAACAAAGCTCAAACAATTGTATGGGCGGCGGAACACCAGAGATGACGAATTGAGGACACCCATTTATAGGGTTTCCAGCGGGTTCGAGGCAAATTGGAGTCTTTCCAGGTTAAATTGGACTTGGCCGCAGGTATAAAGTTTGCTCAACTCCTTGAGATCTTCATTTTTGTAATTTTTGAGAATTTTTAGAAATAGTTGAGTTTTCCAGCGAGTTGGGGGGGCCGACCGCCACCCGCGGCAGCACACGGCCAGGGAGCCAACATTGTATTTTGATGCGAATTTCATTATTACAATTATGCTTATGAGACCTAACTGCTGTGGTTTAAATATCAATACGATTGTGGTATATGTTGGACTAAATGAATATATTCAGGTTTTGTTTGCATTTTTGAAAATGTGAACTACGAATGGCTTGATCCCTATTTAGGGTACGTATGCAGTCTAACGAGACGTTAGATGCAACCATAAAATAAGTGAGATTAAATACTTCGAGAATAAATAATTGGAATGAGATTTGATCTATAAAGGAAGGTGGTGACAAAGTGTGAAAAGAAAAAGTGCATTTGATATAGAAATTGTGATTGTGGACCATGGATGGAAACAAGGTCTATAAATAAAGAAACACGTTAAGTGGTAGCTAATTAATTGAGGTAAATCTTTTGTTGAACATTGTGCTAAGAGAAGGGAGTTTGGGTTAATAACTTGAGTTTTATCCTTATGCTTTGATAATTAAATGTTTGTTATAAATTTATTGTGAGGGTTCATGAGAATAAAGTATTTAATTGGGATTAATGGTATGTTAACTAAACAAGAATTTAGTTTAGGCCTCTCACCAATAGACTTATTTTTCGAAATAAAACATATTTCGGGGCCGGGGTGTTACACGCATCATCTAATAATAACATGTTTCTAAATACTCAAGGTAATTATTATCTTGAATTAGTCAAAACTCCAAAAGACTCCAAAACAAAACTGTCGAACACTCTAATGCTTTAGCATATTCAATCACATATATTAAACACTAGCCCGTTCTATCAACTATATTTTTCTCTCAAGTGAGACATAAATAAATAAATATATATATATATATATTATATAACCCTTTATAACCAAATATATCTCGGGATACTAAACCTAGTTAGAAACTAATATTTTTTTTTAGTTTTACATATATTAAAATAAACAATTACATGGATACCCATTTATACCCGCGGGTAATACCTATAACCACCCATTTAAATTTCACGGGTAAACGGTTATACCCATAACCATTTATTTATCTAAATAGTTGCCCATAACCGTAACCGTCAAATTTAAATGAGCAGATAACAGCGGTTACCCATAACCAATGGGTATTTACCCATCCTTACTTATGGAGCAATCGGCGTGAAATCTTCGGACACGAAGGCGCTCTTTGGAGATGTCATTGGGCCTAAGAGTGGAGGAAGCCAGAGAGGCCGAAGTGTAAATGAAGTGCATGCCATTGTTGTGCAGAAGCGCAACTGAACATAATCATGGCAATGCTCAGGAAATTGTACATAAACTAAAATTTTAACGTATGCATTATATTCAAATGGAGAGAGACACCCCTCAAATATTCATAAGGTCATAAGACAGAAACCAAGCAAGAGCCAGGATACGTGGTGAGCGAGGGACGACGAGTTGTTGACTCTTCGTGTTACAGGATCATAGCGAATTATTGAAGCATAAACCTAAACTTATTGATATGTTTCCAAAAGATAACAGGTCATTGTTACTTGGACCGATTGGTGAATGATAATTAGACACTCTATATCTACAATTAAATTTGAGCCTTCAAATTTTCGACATCTGTGTAGTCCATTGTATCAGTAAGAAAATCTGCAGCCGGGAAAAACAAAAGCAGCACAGTTGCTAGAAATGTTTGAAATGACATGTCAGTCACCAGTTTGTTATGATTGCTAAGATGGTGGAAAAGAATGTATACCTGCATCTTCATTAGTGAAGCACAGCGGAGGTGTGATTCTGAAAACATTTCTATAGAAGACCTTTGCCAATCGCGAGTCCCTGATCTCAATAGTAAAAGGAAAAACTAAGTAAAGATAAATTTGCAGATCAGGTAGCATCAAAGCACGAATTGAGAATTGAAGAGCTTAACACGAACCTTTCATCTTGTCCATTGCATGTACAGTTTCGGTCTCTGCAGGTGTCTTCAGCTCACGATCACCAATAACTACTTAAGCAACCATCACCAGAAGTCGTGGTACTGATAAAATCCCAATTGGCCTAGGCAGTAGCCCCCATGGTGCCATCAGCGCTGCCATGATATGCGTTCCTTAATGAGATTATGTCATGACACCCAGTGTACAACCTCACTATCAACACCACTAAATCGTCACCTACCAATGCTTCCAGATACACCTATTGACGTCGAAGAAGAATTGGGGCAGTGGAATTTTATATCATGACGGTCCAGATGCACCAAGTGATCAGCAACAGCAAGATTGCAATTGCAATCTGTCCACTTGCACTGCCTTCCAATATAAAAGAAGCCCTCATCAAACCATAAGGGTAGAATTAGAATTTTCATCTAGCTTGAGAGTTGTCATCAGCATAAATGGATGCAAAAGCATCTGCAGCACCAGCTACAAGCAGCGTTTCGTACGGATGGAAGGCTAGAAATGAAGAGCTACAACCAGCTACATAGCATATTATCATGTTTAATGTTTACTTATAGTGGGACAAACGTATAGTGACAGAAGTAGAAATGAAGAGCTTATCATTTGTAAACATATAAAGAAATTGTGCATCTAGGTAAGCAAACGTAACTATTTGTAACTTATCTTTTCTAAAAGTTGCAACACTTTCAAAAATATCATAACCCATATTTTTGGTCTTGCCAGAAGAAGATATGATGAGCTTACATTTCAGGAGTTCGCACATCATAAAGTCGGACAGAACCGTCGACAAAACCGGCTGCAAGTTGACCCTAGTGAACTTGAGGAGCAGACTGCAGAAAATGTAATCTTTACATCATAAAGAGAGGAAGTACCAGATATCCAGATTGTTGTTGCCAATCCACAACAGCATTCAAACTTCGCACCCCACGTTTATGACCTTGAATTGAAGAAAATGCAGTGACAAGCTTCTAGCAAACGAAGCAATGCAGAAGCTATCAATAACATTATTCACCACAAAGAACAAGAATCACAAAATTGAAACAGAACTCTGTGGAAGAGTTCTGAGACAAGAAGTAAACACATCAGCAGGAAATTCAGCACTCAGCGGAAGAGTCTCGTATGCTTCACAAGCAGCTAGCAGGATACAATCCCTTGCAGATCCAGATGAACTAGAACCACCCCAATCTGTTGAAATGTAAGCTATATTGCAGACTTGAAGGTTCCAAGGCAGGACCAAAAGGAACTTAAAAAGCTGTAACGGCTAGTTTGTGAAGGAATGAAGCATAGGATTCTAGTTTTCAAACAACAGATGTATCGGCTGTGATTCATATATCCAGCTGTCCATTTGAAGGACGTGTACCATCTGCAATACCTGCAGATAAGTAGGAAGAATGTTCCTGAAAAAATTACAATGAATGAAATCTTAGTGCCGCTGCCATGTTTTGCAGTCATTGAAATTCTCTGAAAAATTCTTTTTGTTCTTCCTTACCTTTTGTTCTCAATCATTCCCTAAATATCCAATTTCTAACACGATCATGAAGCTAACAAAAACGCTTTCTCTAAAGTCATTGAAATTCTCTAAAGTCATGCACAAAGAAAAATAAAAACGCTTTCTCATCCTTGGTTTATGAGAATACGGTAACTTGAGCTTGAAGGTTATCAATGAAGGTTACATTTGGTTGCCAATGGGTGTGTCTGAATTATGAAGTTTGGCTTTGGTATTGGAAGATGGATAAGAGGATGTAGGACTCACGCACACCATACCGAAGAAAATAATTAACGATCAACACACAGCCAACAAGGAGAAGAAAAAAATGATTCTTAGGAATACAGTACAAGCTAACGAAGTAGCTTGACTGAAAGGAGATGGTAACAAGACCAAATATGTGTTAGTTACGAAACAAATAAAAAATGCATGCCGCGCTCACAATGGACTACCAGTGATAAACAGGAGGAAGGCGGGAATGACGTCATGTCTCATGACCCATATGGGCTAGGCCTGTTGGTGGTGAATCCACTCTCGGATCGTCACTCTGCCCGTCCCTTCGGCACCTTTGGGAGGCAAGGACAAGGAGTGTTGCTCTCTCAATTTGTCCATAATTTTCTCCTTACCAAATAAATACAAAATGAATAATAGGTTTGGCGTAAAGTAAAAGGGGTGCATCGAGTGTCGACATTTTTCAAGCAAGTTATTCGAAATTGCAGTACGGACAGCACACATAAGCCTACATGTACCAAAGGATGAGTCCACGATGTCATCATCTTTTTTCAACGTTTTGTTTCTCTGACATGCTACTGGGCCAATTACTTTAATGATCTCTATCATTAACTTATACATTTTAATAAACTTAACCATCTTTAATTTGTTGTTATAAATTTAGTACGTGTTAATCAATGATAGAAATCACAGAAATAAATTTATTTTCAGCATGCTTAGAACACGAGTTAGTATGCTACATGTTATTATACATGTAGAGAAAAATTTTGTTTTTGTGTTTGACAAACTGAAAAAAGATTTCACATGAAAGTCATACACAAAATGAGTGCTTTGATCTCGAAAACAACGGCGTTTGAACTTTTGGTACCCATGCATCATGCAAACCACGAAAAAATTAAAAAGGAAGTTCAGATCTCAGGTGGTAAAACCAAAGGGTACATCAGTAATTTAACTTCGTACATATATTATTAATTTGATACAACTGTAATAGTACGAGCATAACATAATCAATGTTTGATGTAACATCATATGAAATCTAAGTTTTGTCATCACAGAGAAAGAACAGCTTGAGAGCTTAAGCTTAGGAAGCAGAAAATGGCTAGATTGAAGGATGCCATGTCGACGGTGCTGACTGTAGTATTTCTTAGGAAGAGCATACAAGTATACGAGGAATTCGGGGTTTTGGTAATGGACTTTGTTTCGATTCTAACATCAACGATTCAATTTTCAGGCTTCGTTTTCTTCGAAGTACAAGAGTTTCTGCTGCCGGAGGCAGGCATTCTCCGATGTCATCAATGTTTGCTTGAAATGATCGGTAGTTGTCTGCAGATTAAATTCGTGCCTCAATATTTTGAACTGTAAGTCGTGCTTTATATATATATATGTATGTATGTATGTATGTATATATATATATATCCCACATTATATATATCACTCGATTTTGGTGGTGCTGTAGTGAGCTTGCTTTTGTTTCAGATTCAGTACTTATACATTACCAGTTTGTTTTCTGGCTAATAAGCTGAATTATTCTGCCAATAATTATGGTTTAACTTACTAGATTAATTATTACTGAGTGTAAATCAACATGATATTAGACGATGAACGAAACCAAGATCGATCAACTTAGGCGAATGATACCATAACCATATTAAGAGTATTGGATCAGTAAGTTTCGTGAAGGGGAAATCAAAGGAGAGAGAGAGAATACAAGAAGAATGTGAAATAGAGCCGATGAACTTGGATATTAATTGCAGAGAGTGAGTGAAACAGATGAGCAGGGAAGGGTTTTACAGAATCATGCCCCTTGCATACCAACTTAAATAGCTGAGGTGGTCACAAGAGATCATACATGCGGTTGCACTGTCATTTGAATTTACCTGACTTCTCAATATATCTTATAGACCAGATTTGATAGATTGTACTTATGCCTTTGTTCAAGATTTTAGGGGAGTGGATGAGAGAGATAAATCCTCTTGAGAATCCTCTATATTTATATGCAGGAATTTTTTTTAAAATTCCTCTGTACGATATCTTGTTAGTAACTTGTTTCTCTCTTCGGACCACTTTCATCTTCATTGTTCGACCTTTGTGGAGATGGTGAAGCGGGCAGCGGCCACAGGAGATTCCGCTGCTTCCTCACTTTCCTGTCAACCATCCTTGTGTGTTTCCGTAGGATCTTATTGATAGCCTTTAGATAGTTGTTTGAATCGTGGTCACATAAGATTGTACCTTCTGAACCATAAGCTGTAGGATCACTAAGGGTTTCTAGTGGATGCGGGGAATTCAAGAAGGCCCTAAAGATATCTGAAGAGAAACCAGATTGCGTGTTGTCCAAGACATAGAGGGCACTCCCCATAGGGAGTAGAGGGTGTGAAGGAGATAACCTTTCATCAGGTTGAAGAATGAACAGTTTGCCGATTGGAGAGTACAACGTCTTCTGCATAAAAACGTATATATCAGAAAAAATGATTTATTAATGTGGAGGATTCTATGAGTTAAACAATATTCTCGGTGCAGTACGTCCGTCTTTTATTAGGTGACGGACTTATAGCACTATTTATATTGTCGATAACATCAATGACCTGTGGGCACGTTTTGTCATTGACATGTTATTGGTGCAATATTGATGGAATGTTCGCCCGTTTCTATGAAGTTATCGTACTGGTACTTACATTTTTTATCAGGCAAGGGAGTGACTGAAATGAACTATTTAAACGCTTGAGGAGTGTAGCCACATGGTTGGGGTAGTTGCAGGAGAAAGCTCTAGGGACAACATCTCTATGCATCATCACACAATGGATGTGATTATTCGCATCCAACCATAGTTGATCAAGTAACTTGTGGCCTCCGCAGAACACAAATGGTGATCCAAATGTGACAACCGGCAGAAGAGTAGAGGGTTTCACAAGCTTCCTAGTGAGGAGCATCATGTGGACTAAAAGAGCAATGCTTCCTCCAAGACAATGGCCAGTAAATTGAAGCTTTGCGAGTTCACCATTTCTATCTAAGTGCTCCAATATATCTGGCATGAATTGCTGGTACATTTTCTGTGCCGCTTCATAGGTTCCTCTGTGAACATGTACATTCGTCTCCTACACAGGGACGACACTATTAGCTAGGCCTAGTTTGTCAATGGTTAATTTCGCATTTTCTTCCCCTTCAAGATATTATAAGGTTATGCATTGAATGTCTATGCTTACCTCAAATTTGGTGGGTTCGAAAAAGAGGTATGCCTGTCGGGAAGCAAGGGAGTCCATGCCCTGCAAATGAAGGACGATTTTCAGCTATGCATTTTCCAATCTGTGGCACATCATCTCGTTGTTTCGAAAATTTGACCCACATAGCTGTAACAAATACCATTGGAGGAGCTAGCTAATGCTAAATAAAGTTAGTAAAGACCTGTCATACACAGATTGTAATGAAGGGCTTATAAGAAATAATCTGAATCACGAAGCAACGAGTAGACGTACTGGAGTCATCACAAACAAACCATTCACAAGGCAAGGAGTGGTGGAGTGACCGAAGGTCATTTTCCGTCTCTTGTCTTGCCATTTCGCTTGCTGCTTGAAGTACTTCTGTCATCGTTGAACTTTCCAAAGAAACAGCTACTTCTGCTTTCTTTTCTAATGAAGATGTTACAAATTGGAGGCCATATATCTTCAAATCCTCGGCCTGCATGCGCATTAGTATTGCGGATGGAAAATGCTTAATGACCCAACATTATTATGGTTATAAGTACATGATTAATAAAAACATACCTTGATCTCTGGTATCACACAAGCCATGTTGCACAAGAAGGCTAGCTTTGAAAATAGCTTGGTATCTGACCATGGTACTCTAACTAAAAACCTCGAGAAAGACTCCTGGTCGTATGATCTGTATCTCATTTCCCCATCATTATCTTCTAAACCACAACTCCCCGCACAACCACCTTCCTCTCCACCACTTCCACAACCACCGTTTTCACCCTCATCGTGAGTGTTGTCTTCGTCCGCAACCTCTTTTTGCTCCCAAATATTGCTCCACAGGTCACCGAGTGCCACAAGCCCGTCCATCAAATTGGCTCCCTTTATTTCCTCCCCTTGATCACTAGTACTCTCTCCAAATTTCTCCATTATATGCATGCTATTCTGCATTTTCGTATGCTTACTCGTGGTTGGGCCAAACAAAAATGATCTAAGCAAATTTGGGACCATGGAACTCAAACATTGAGACGGGCAAATTCCAATGGAACGGTTGTTGTTTGGTAGTTTTGATTGAGTGACCTGGATATGATTGATGCAATGACAAAGATGGTTAACTAAGCAAAATCTTCGGACATAAATATACTCTTTGAAGATGTCTTTCGGCCTTAGAGTTGAGGAGGTTGGAGAGGCCGGAAAAGTAAATGAAGTGCACGCCATGGTTGTGCAGACCGGGAATTGAAGAAACTAATGGAAATGGACTTTTATAAGCAGTTAAGTACACCAGACTGAGCTACTTGCTCCTTGATTACAACGGAAACACTAGAAAACTATCGTTGTATTCGAAGCGAAATAGTAAGCTATGGTTAAGATGATCACATCCAATAAACATAATGATGTCAACGATTTGGTGTTAATTTCAATGGTTTGCCTTGGAGCCATCCTTCACAACTTTGTCTAATTGTTTTTGGACATTACCTTTTCGTTTCCAAGTACAGCAAAGGGAAAAAAATATTTAGTCACGAGTCCACATCAGTTTTGTTTCTTCTTCTTTGTCTTCTGCATTAATGCAGTAAATGCATCATGTCATCGAAAACTCAACGGAGAGTGCACCGTTGCTTCCCCTTCGACGGGCGGAAATGGTCAGGAAATAGCATTCAGTTCTAATTTCAACAAACTTATCTGAACTTGTATGTACATAACTGAATTTGTATTTTCAAAATACTATTCCAATAGATCACATCTCTAATGGGACTCACCTGTATTACACGTTGCGGAAACATGAATGTGCAAAGCTCGCATGAATTTGCAGTTTCAGTTGCCGAAAATCTAATAACCCAAAAAAAGGTGACAGAAGTACAAACGCTAAACCAGTACCATATGCATTATATATAAATGGAGAGACACCCCTCAAATATTCACAAAGATCATAAGAAGTAAACCAAAGAAGCGTCAAGGTTTGTGCTGAGTGAGAGACAACAAGTTGTTGACTCTTCGTGATCGTAGTCGAATTATTGAAGCACAAACCTACTATATTTTGACAATTTATTTTCAAGAGATAACAGTTCGTTGGTGCTTAGACCGATTGGTGAATGATTAATTACACCCTTCATCTACCATAAGACTTGAGCTAGCCTTCAAATTTTCGACATCGTGTGGTCCATTGCATCCACAAGAAAATCTGCAGCCAGAGAAAACACAGCCCGATTGGTACTACAAACTTTTCGGAATGACATGTTACTAATTTGCTATTTTCGCTAAGGCGGTAGAAAAATATATACCTGCATCTTCCTTGGTGAAGCACAAGGGAGGTGTGATTCTGAAAACATTTCCATAGAAGCCACCTTTTCCGATCAAGACTCCCAAATCTGGTAACGGAAGGAGGAAAAAAAAAGATTAATTTGCAGGTTAGGTAGCATTGAAACATGGAAGGGATTGAGAATCGAAGAGGTTAACACAAACCTTTCATCTTGTCCATAACATGTACAGTTTCAGCCTTCGCAGGGGTCTTCAGCTCACGATCAGTAACAAGTTCAACTCCCAGCATGAATCCTCTTCCTCTCACATCGCCAATAACTACATACGCAACCATCACCGGAAGTTGAGATAAAGACAATTAGTTTATAAGATCTATTGTAATTATAAAGGAAATTATTGCCTGTCATGACTCCATGGATATTGATGTACAAGTGAATGCTTACGTTCATATTTATTCTTAAGAGCATTGAGTCTTTCTTTCAGATACGATCCCACAACCAACGCATTCTCCTGCAGTTTTTCTTTCTCAATCACTTTTAGAACCGCCAGTCCTGCAGCTGTAGACACTGGATTGCCACCAAAGGTGTTGAAGTAATTGCGGCGAGTTAGGACCTCTGCAACCTCAGGAGTGGTTACCACAGCACCAAGGGGAATGCCATTTCCAATTCCCTGCAAAATGCAGTCAAAGATTTAAGTCAAACACAGAAGACCAGCTTCAAATATATATTTCTTGGGGTTGAAGAAAAGAATGATGATATTATTAAGTCACTCTTCGGCTGACCTTTGCCATTGTCACAATGTCAGGCACGACACCATGGCCCTCAAATCCCCAGAAGTTGCTCCCCGTGCGAGCGAAACCAGACTGGACTTCATCAGCAATGAAAAGTCCTCCGGCTTTTTTCACGCTATTATAAACGGCTGGCAAGTAACCCGGAGCTAGTTCTACAATTCCGCCTACTCCCTGTAACATAATTTAAAAAGTTAGTACTCAAAAAAGGGGGTTGATCCATGGATTTTTCTTCCTTTTGCCGCATTTCCCTCGAAGGGTTTTAGTAATAACTTGATTATTAGGCAGATGACATACCTGTATGGCTTCACACATAAAACCAGCAACATGGCCTGAAGTTCCAAAATCTATGAGATCTTGGACATCTTTTGCATACTTCTCTCCATCTGAACCAAAAACTCCTCTGTATGGGTCCGGATTTACGGCGTGATGAACTCCACTCTGTTGATCAAACCAATATAATTTCGTTAGCAAACTTTGAACAATGCAAATTACGGTAAGCCCTTCTAATATAGAACTGATATATTTGGTGCAAATGTAAAAGGAACTTTAACGAAAAGCTATCGGTACTTTTCACTTTAACAAAAAATCACATTTTTGCACTAAAAAGTCAATCATGGTACTATTCAATTTACCTTTTATTTTGTCATTATCGTTAAAACTCAAAGTTTTCAAGCCCTTTTCATTAGTTTTCCTAATGTAAAATCATCAAGGTATCAGCAAAAACATCATTCTGCACTCCATAGACGGAAAACTGAAGAATATTTCAGAATGCTAATTACAACTTTCGTGGCGAATGAGTATATGCATCTACAACACTCTCTCCTATGTCTCACGATCCTCATTTAACGGCACAGAAACAGAACTTGGTTTAAGTATTTAACTAAAGTATTAAAAAACCATCTAAATATCTTTGTTGGAGAAGCAAAAGATTTTGAGAATGTACAATTTCATGAAACATTTGCGTCTTTTACTTAATGATTCTCTAATGCTTTACCATTCCTTATACAGCCTAAACAGTATAATATACGTACTGTTGAACTTTGCCCTTTTTTATCTTTTAAAGAGGACTGGCCGGTGGCGAAGCCACGACTGTCCACCATTCTAGGGAACGAGTAGACTCACAGAAGCATTTCAACATCTCCCAAGTCATCTTTGTGTGATTCACTAGCACTAGAAATCGAACTCAAGATGAATTGTGTAAAATACAAGACTTAGAATTCGTCCCAATCACTGGACCACCCGTGATGGTTCTATTGAACTTTGCTTTCAACATCTAACTTCCCCCTTGGGAATTCTAATAATTTTATTGGGAACAATGCAAAACCAAATAATAGAGTCAATTAAAGGTAACCTCATAAATGCATAACTTAGCGTTGATAATATCGATAAGCATAAATTAGCCTCTAGACAAAATTTTACAAAATAAATAAAATGGAAGTTAATGATTAAATCATAACTTAAACGTTAATAAATGTGTGCTCATTCATATTGATTGACACATTATTTAGTTTGTAAGTTTTGTTTACAAATTTAGTTTTCCTAACATTACCTATTTTTAAGACAATATTCTAAACTATTTTAATCTGTGGAAAATAAGGATTTGAACATAGATAGAAAAAGACTGACACCAGTTTGACCAACTAGACTAACCTACTTATTATTATGTAGTATAAATCTTACGCGAAATGTAGTACTTTCCTTATTATTAAGCAAACAAGCCAAAATCAGTGTATACAAATATAATCATGTCCTACTAAGTATTCTTTCTTCTGATATGCATGTGCTAATAGTTACGTATTTAACATGATATTATTTTAGAAGGAGAATTAAAAGAAAGATATTGGTTAATGCGTCACCGTTCTATATTGGTGAATACATAATTGAAAAATAATTTACGCATGGGGAATGTATTTGATGCATGAATTGGAATGGACTTATATCCCCACCCAAATGAAAACCAATAGAGAAAAAAAATATTATCACCAAGCAATGATTTGGACATCCTTATCGTTTAGTCATATTTATATAGTACTTGGTCCATTTTTGGTATTATTGAAGGAGGCAGATTGTCTGTCATCCTATTTGGATGCCCTTTTTATTTTTTTTATTTGTGCGGTCACAGTTAAGTCACGTTAACATTTTATATATATATATATTTTTTGTCTTATTATCTCTATAAAACAAATTAATATAAAATATTGACGTGGCTTAACTGTGACCGTACAAAATAAAAAGGATGAGAAAGATACCCAAACAGGAGAGCAGACAATCTACCTCTATTACTGAAGGCATTTCAATTGGGATGACGTTAGGTGGTGTCGATATCGTATCGTGGGGTCAGCTTGTATGCATGTATGTAGCCAATCGAGAATGATAATATATTAACAAATGTCTTGGCCCCTTTCGGCTTTAGCCACTACAATTTGAAAACTTCACGTGAATATTAATTTATTGATATTTAAAGCGAAGACAAGACTTTTTCGGGTACTTTGGAGTATCTAATATTTTAGATATTTTAATCCTTAGAGGTTTAAACATCAGGAGTATTCAATACTCTGAAGCATCCAAAATTTTTTAGAGTGAAAAGTAGAAAATAGAAGAGAAAATGACCTGGATGACGTTGAATTTCCAGTTGCCCTGGGCGGTGGCACCCATGGTACCAGCAGCATTGCCATGATATGCGTTCCTTAGCGAGATTATGTCGTGACATCCAGTGTACAATCGTGCTATCAACATCGCCAACTCGTTCGCCTCCGTCCCCGAGTTTGTAAAAAACACCACCTACCAACAAATTTACCACAAATGAATACGAAATACACATAAAATCCCAAAGATTACAAATGGGTTTTTTTGTCATTTTAATAACTAGGAGAACAATACCATGATGAACTAGGCATTGATTCTATCATGGGTGTGATTGCGACTCCTACCAACAAAAATTATCACAATCACTCATCGTCATCGGTCATAATGACAATTCTTCACAGAAAAAACATACACCGTTGGATAGATTATGCTTGATTAATTATATAACTTAATTTTGTGATGATATCTCAACTCAATATCACTACATAAATACGTTGAAATGAAATTGAGATATTGCAACGATATCCCAACTCAGTATCACTCCATAAATACGTTGAGATGAGTAAATATTATCTCCTAGGTAAGTTTTTTCACCAAAAGTTGTGACAGTGGAATACACTACGATAAATTAATTGTCATAGTATAATTCTTGATGCAAGTAAGTTTATTCATCAAAAAATGTAGACCGTCAAATTACTCATGATAAATTAATTATGTTATAGTGACTGTATTTCAATTTAATAAAAATGGATGACCAGTTGAGATATCGTCACCGTGACATAAAGTTTATTTCGTCCAACCAACCTTGAGATTGCCGGGCAACTTGTTAGCGAGCGCCTGAGCAAAGTCACCGATGGCGTGGTTGAGGTAGAGGATGGTGGAGTGTTGTATGCGTTTGGTCTGGTTGACTATGGCCTCCACCACGTCCGGGTGGCAGTGCCCGCAGCTCACAGTCGCAATCCCCCCGAATCCGTCCAAATACCTCCGCCCGTTCTCGTCGAACAAGTACTGCCTCTTCCCGTCCACTATGTTCAGCTGCACAAAACAAAGAAAATAAATCAAACATATGAAACACGTGATTAGATAGGGAGGGAGAGGAGGAGGGATCGGGTGCGGCGGGGCTCACGGGTTTGTTGTAGAAGTAGAACATGGAGGGGCTGAGATACTCCTTGCGCTGGGCGAGGATCTCGTCAGCGGTGGGGCCGGTGTACGGCGGAGGGGAGTAGTCAAACGGGGGCATTTTGGGAACATCGACGCCATTGTCTTGGAGAAGGGCTTCCTCCCTCTGAGACACCTGAGAGAAGCAGCGTTGTTGTTGCCACCGCAGGGATTTTGCAGTTCTCGATAAAACCCTTTTCCCTATTAATCCCTGCATCTCTTTTTTTTTTTTTTTCCTGTTTTTTTCCTCCAACTTTCTTCCCTTCGCTGCCTCTCTCCGAAAATACAGGAGTTTTTGGCTTCGTTTTGTGGTTACGTGAGAGTGTACAAATGGAGAGAGAGAGGAGAGAGAGAGAAGAGAGAGAGAAGAGAGAGAGGGGAGAGAGAGTGGTCGAGGGAGGTGGAGATAATGGAGGGGAAGGCGGAGAGGGAAAATATATAGGGAGATTTTGAAGACGTGTTGGATTTTTGTTGTTAATTAGCTTTTAATTGGTTAGTTTTTTAAGCAGGATTAATTAGCTTAATTGGTTTGTGGTAAGCAGGATTAATTAGCTTAATCTGTCTGTATTTGGTTATTGATGGTAAAGATGAAATGCAAAATATGAGGGATTTGATTTCCCTCTTGAATCTGATTGCAGCGGCTTAAATTCATGATATATTCGTATTGAATGTCAAATATCTTTCGTCCAGTTCAACACAATGCGTTATCAAATTGTTAGTATTAAGTAGTGGTAGAGTCATACTGACAAAAATACAGGTGTAAGTAGAGTTAACGTGTCTTAAAAAACATGTCTAGAAAAATAGTAGAACAAGTGTAAGGGTTACATGGGTGATGATAGTGAAATAACTCGTACTTAGTCACTAGTTTGATTTGTAATTCGACAATATAACATATTAAGCTACAACGATACCAATTTGTTTCACAAAGCTTATCTTTAAAAGATGTGTGTGCACCACAGGCTTGTTAAAACTGAAAGTCTAGAAGAGCAATTGAATAATGGTATGGCAAGCTGCCACATTTTTCATCAACAAAACGTGGTGACCCATGTGATAAATGTTGACTGAAAAAACTATATGTCCTTTTTTATATTTGGCTTATTAGTCGAAATGTCCCCTGAAACGACCATCATGTTTCAGTTTACCCTTTGAAACTGATTTTATCTCACTTTACCTTTTGAAACTGACATTTTCAACTCTTTTATCTCACTTTACCCACTTCAGTTAATAGACCCTTAAATTTAAGGGTATTTTAGACATTTCAAGTTTTACACATTTATTTTTACCTCTAACCTACACACTAAACAAGTCTCAATTTTATTTTTGACAATTCTAATCCAAATGCATAAATTTTAGGCATTTTTTAAAATAAATTATTCAATCAATAGAAAATTTTCGAGCAACAAAATTATTATATCAATCAAAATAAGGGTTACATTTGGTCGTATAGTCATTACACTTGCAAGACATCCATGTATTTGCTCGAAACATTGCAATTGAAAAATATTTGTTACAAGAAAATCATTATACCATTAAGCTACCCTATCCAAAATACTTCTCAAACCAAAAAAAAAAAAATCATTTAAAGCAAATGTGCATAATTTGAACAAGCTTATGCCTAGTGGAATCAGTGCTCAACAATGTGAAATTTTTTTGTTTCAAACTGTGCACATTTGCTTTAAATGTTTTTTTGGTTTGGGAAGTATTTTGGATAGGATAGCTTAATGGTATAATGATTTTGTTGTAATCAATATTTTTCAGTTGCAGAGTTTCGAGCCAATATATGGATGTCTTGCAAGTGAAATGACTTTACGAGCAAATTTAACCTTTATTTTGGTTGATACAATGATTTTGTTGCTCGGAATTTTTCTATTGATTGAATAATTTGTTTTTAAAAATGCCCAAAATTTATGCGTTTGAATTATAGTTGTCAAAAATAAAATCGAGACTTGTTTAGTGTGGGGGTTAAAGGTAAATAAATATGCAAAAACTAAAATATCTAAAATACCCTTGAATTTAACAGTCCATTAACGGAAGTGGGTAATGTAACATTCCACATTGACCAACAAAAAGGGTGATGTGCCTTATATGTACATACCCACCTCCATATAGCAGGAGGCTTTTTGGGAACTCATTGGCTTTGGATTCCATCGGAACTCCAAAGTTAAACGAGTTTGGGCAAGAGCAATTGCAGGATGGATGACCGCCTGAGAAGTTATCGTGTGAGTTCCTATAAACAAAACCGTGAGGGAATGGTAAGCCCAAAGCGGACAATATCATGCTACGGCGGAGTTGAGACTAGGATGTGACAGAATGGTATCAAAGTCACTCTGCCTGTGTGGTGCGAGTATGCTGACAAGGACGTCAGGCCCCTAAGGGGGGTAGATTGTAACATTCCACATCGACCAACGAAGAGGAGGTGATGTGCCTTATATGTACATGCCCACCTCCATATAGCACGAGACCTTTTGGGAACTTACTGGCTTCGGATTCCATCGGAACTCTGAACTTAAGCAAGTTTAGGCGAGAGCAATCCTAGGATTGATGACCCACTGGGAAGTTCTTGTGTGAGTTCCCAGAAACAAAACCGTGAGAGAATGGTAGGCTCAAAACGGACAATATCGTGCTACAACATAACCTGTCTGGGATGTGACAGGTAAAGTGAGATAAAATAGTTGAAAATGTCAGTTTCAGAGGGGAAAGTGAAACAAAACCAGTTTCAGGGGGTAAATTGAAACTCAATGACAGTTTCATGGTGCATTTCGACTAATATGCCTTTATATTTTGTGCCTATTACTTATCATTATCCCCATAAGAGCCATGTCAAATTTATTTTAATTATTTATTGATATATGTTGAAGTATGAATCTCATCTCGAAGAAAGAAGAGATATTGCATGTGCTTGGAAGTAAGTGGATGATTTCCCATATTATCCATTTGTTTTATGGTGGAACCTCAACTTTCTTCATGGTATTAGATTGTCTTGCATGTGAGGTCCAAGGGTCACTCGCTCCACGTCACCCGATTTTGTATTGTCCACTTGTTAGGCCTGAAATTCGCCACATGTGATGTGCTTGTTGAGATTATGAATCACACATCGGGAAAAGAAGGGAACTTGCATGTGATGAATCTCACATCGGAGAAAGAAGTGACATTGTGTGTGCTTATATGTAATTGAATAACTCTCCATGCTATTTGGTTTTATGGTGAAACCTCAACTTTCTTAATAGTATAATAGTTTATTTATGCTAAAACATTTTAAACTAATCTAAATTGTGAAAAATGAGATTCGAACTCGAGCACAAGAAAAACATATTCGTTCTAATTAATGTAACTACGCTTTAGTCTATTGTCACGATACTTAGTCATAAATGCCTTCTTGTGATGATCTCACCGATTCTATTGTATTTTGGCTGGGGTAAAGGGTACATGTAATATGGGACTGGTTCTTTCAAATTTCGACAATGATGGGAAATATGGAAACAGACATTGCAAAGTTGTTTGTCCAAAACATATTAGTGAATGAAATCATGAAAATGGTAAACCATCTTCGGGGAGTTGAGCACCCACCAAGTAGGCCCTTATTAGCCATAGAAAAAGTACCTTTTTCTAAGTGCTTCCTTTGTAGTACTATAATTAGTTGGTCCATGTGTTTATCATTGTACTCGACCCATACCATGTTAAAATTCATGTTAAGAACCTAAAATATGTGAGTCTGCCACTGTTACATTATTATGTTGTATTATTAACTACTGTTATTTGTTTCTGAAAACGCATTTAAAATGCATAACTCAACCTAAGAATCAATTGCCTAACGAGCATGTGACGCAAGCACTATCTGCATAATAAACTCAAATGGCATGTGGAATACCGAATACCACGCAACAGAAGTCAAGAAAAAGAACCATGGATTATGATGCAAAGGAAAGTTAGACATCCGTATTCATAATAATAGAATCAAATAAACAACTGAGGTGAAGGTGAAAGTCATTTTCAAAGATGTTTCAATTCCAAGGACTCTGATATAAGTCCAAACCTACGTCTACTTCATTGGTATTTGTTAGGCCCTAAAACACGTTAAAATTTCAATAGGTCAATCTGATTACTGGTTGATTAGACATTCTTATAGAGAAGGGGACTTCGTGCATTGAGGATTGCACCTATGCTGGGCCCAACGATACACAAATACAAAATAATGTTACTTTATAAGAATAACTAGATAATCACATGATTAGACTGTCCTATTGCTTCATTAAAAAAAAATCTAATGTTTATATAGTTTTATGAATCGCGTTCTCAAAGCCATAAATAGGGTTTACTTTAGCAATGTCTCCCAACAAAACATCCATAACCTAAGTTGACCTAGGCCAGAAGCAGGCCTATGTCACGATTACCCTTCTTGCCTCCTTAAAACAACTATTGTTTATGTAGTTTTGTGAATCACGCACTCAAAACCATAAATGGGTGTTTGCTTGAGCAGTGCATCCCAACAAAGCATCCATAAACCTAACCTCAATGGCGTAAGCAAAAAAATGGATCCGTGTCTATCAAGCAAAAATGCACTTAGACCGAATGATAAGGATTGTTAAGCAAAGTACTGACATGCGTCTCTATACCATTTCCAAAGAAGTGGTTAACCAAGTCACGCCCTGATCCTGACATATGTCTAGGATCAACGCGTGACGTCACCAAGTATCCGTATATCCAATAGACCCTGCCTACAGAATATGTACAAAGCATAATTCAAGATTCGAATTGCTTTGTCAATTCCGTATACTTTATGGCTGCATCTAACCTCCTCGTTAGACTGCCTACGTACCCTAAATAGGGATTAAGTCATTTGTAGTTCACCATTCACTACACTCCGACGTTTATCACAGTACGTTCAAGTAGAAAAGCATAGCATTCCTCAATCATTTATTAGAACTTGACAAGCATGAAATTACTAGGTCCAGAGCTACATAACAAACCCACATGACATTCAAGATTTCCATTCCATCCATCATATAAATCGCTATGTTTTCATCATGATACCTCAATCCACAACGTGTAACATATCAAAAAACCAACAAAGCACAATATTATTCTCAAGCCACATTGATCTACTGATCTATTCATAATAATAACAATCATATCCAATGACACTCCACAATCATGTCAATTAAATCCATGAATCAAAGATGCACGATATTAACATGTAACTACGTTAATCAATCAATGAAATAACATATCATTTCACAAATTTAATTAAAGAACTCTACATAAATCCCCACTTGGATTATAAGTAATAACATGGTGAATTTCATTTATATTCACAAGGTCTACTGTGGTTACTCCCCATTCACTCGAATCTAGGGTGTGACTAACCTTATGAAAATGAGCAAGAGTAAGGATTCCGGACCACTCA